AAAATCCATTCAGGGAACACCAAGCTCCTATAAGGAGATTACTCTACTAAGGACTGTGATGGTTCCAGTTGGAATACAGTCTCGTATCTGTAGTTTTTTTTCTCCTAAGTGTGCTAGAGCAGGAAATGTCCTCATTCTGCTGTGTCTACAATCAAATTAGGCATACCATAACTCCTTTTACCCTATCCAAGTGTAACCTTTCAAAAACAAAAAAAAAAAACCCCAAGCCCATGGACTGTTTTTTATGTCTGGAAAATGTGTGTTGCCTGACTGTGCAGAGCTTAAGGGGGACCTTGGTGGCTCCTGTGGGGGTAGCGCTACATATGCTTGTATACACTTGCGGACACCATGGCCATACTGGCCTCTGTTTATTGCCATACATACTAATGATACATGTTAATGCATATATTTCTGCCATTTAGCTGTGTTTAATATTTGTGTGGTTGGTACGTCTAGGAGCCCCGGTGTATGTAACAGGCTCATATTCCATCTAGTGGGTGTTGGGGGGTTGGGGGTGTCAGGGGGCTGGTACTATCTCCCTCAGCTCCTATCTCTCCCCTGTGAGGGGGGTGGTGGGATGGGAGGGTTCACCATCCAGGGGAGGGGTGTCTTGTGGGTCCTTGTGGGGGTATTGGGGGGTTGATAGGGCTGGTGGGGTGGGTTGTGTCTAGGGTTGGGTGTTGGAGGGTTGGATTAGGCTAGTCCCAGTGGACCATTTGCATCCTTGGTCCATTCTTGAGGGTCCCCTCTTGATATCTCTGGGGGAAGGGGGGGGGGTAGAGCCCTCTGTCATGCCGGGCTGTCATGTCTCCGGTGTCTTACTACTGTCTATGGTGCATAATAAAATTCCTTTGAGTTTAGCCTTTCAGGTGTGCAGCCTTTTTTCTTCCCCCTTTTTTGTTTTTGATAATTGATTAGGTAGCACCCTTCCAGATATTCTGGTGGCACCTCCACTTTCAGATACTGTGAGTGGATTCCCCAGCGTTTACCAATTCCCTTATCCCTGATTTTTGGTATACACACGTATTTTTTCACAGACAACAATGCATTTGTGTTCACCTGGGTTCCAAAAACACTACACAGCAACAAACACAGCATTTTTTTGTGCAAGTGACTTTAAAGTGGAACTTCACCCAGAAAAACTTGATAAAAATGTTCTTTAGCAAGGAACATATCTTCCACATTAATAATTATGCTACCAAACCTAGTGTGTGCTGTAAATTGCCTCCATCCTTGTTCCTGCTTCTTCTAGCCGGAGCCTGCCATTTTGCTGAAGCCCACAGCCCCTAAGCAGCAGTAAATCCCTAGGCTGACAGCAAAACAGCCTCTACAAATGCGGCACAGTGCCTAAAATTAGAGTGAAAATGAGCATGTGCAGAGAAGGTGAGACAGTGTGTTACTGGATTTTTAACAGTATAGGCACTTATTTTTAATGTTTTACGTAGCTATACCTGCAAAAGGGGCCAGCCTGAAGTGATTAAGTTTCACATTAAGTTGTATGCTTTTTAGCTTATATTTGCAATACATTTGACAGTTATTTTCCTTCTGAGTTCCTTCATATGTACTTCTGACCTACTTCTGCCAGTCCTTCTAATCTGCTTCAAGCTTCCTTTGTATTCCTTTTGACTTACATAGGAAGAAAAGTAGTTCATACATGAACACCCATGTACACAGGCCCTAAATCGAATCATCCTGACTGTTAAAGTAGAACAAAAGGCAAAACTTTTTTTTCTTTTCATTTTGGATAGAGTAAGGAAAGACCTTAGATTGTACGCCCCTTGAGGGTTAGGGACTGATGTGAATGTACAATATATATGTAAAGCGCTGCATAAATTGCGTAAGTAACTGAAATAAATAAATTATAACTCTTGTAATTTTTTTCTCGCAATCTGTGTCCCATTGGGAAGATTTCCCTTTACTGTCCCAAAGTGAAAAGTCCCAGAACTAGTGTCTTCCTTGAAAGATTTTTCCCTTTTGTATTGTCAACCCAAAAAGTGGGATTTTCTTTTACTTTCACTTTTAATGATAACAGTAAGCAGGACAAATGAACCTCCCAAATGGGGGTACAGACAGCAATAAAACCTTACAAGTGTTCAATCCATCTCCGCACCAGGGGTGGACTGACAACTCATGGGGCCCCTGTGTCCTTGCCCAAACTCAAAAAAACCTATGAAAAAGGTACCGGGGCATCTCATAGGGCCCCCCACTGACTCCGGGCCCTCGGGCAGTGCCCGAGTTTCCAAATGGTCAGTCCACCCTATCCAAAATAAAAAAAATAAAAAAAAAAAAATTACTTTAGTTATACTGAAAGTATTGTTTGGAAAGAAACATATTCAAGCCGCTTCAAAATGCAATCAATAACATATAAAGCCTCTAACATTGCTACTAGATTTCATACTGGTGTAGCATAATGCAAAGTGTCTCTGAGTGTTAAAGCTGTTGACATAAATAGTTCCAATACCCATGAACCTACTGCATGATCACATATTTGGAGGTCATGTATGGACTGTGCTGTACATACACATATGGACATCCTTATCTGATTCTTTTCATCCCCAGAGAAAATGAACATCAGGGAAGCTGACATAGCCGTATGTGCTGAAAAACTTTATTATTCAGATGTATGAGGCTCTCAATGCACCTCTGCAATTATAATCAAATCTTTTTATCGAGTTATATAGATCAAGTGATACAAATTGACCTTAACTTGAGTTACAGGATTGGAAACTGTGAGCAAATATATCCTATGAGACTGGGTTCACATATGTGCGGGTCCGGTTTCTCTGTGATTTGTATAAGGAGTCCGATGCGATTTTATTTAGTGGTTCAGGAGTGAATTTTTTAAAGTGTATGATACTGGAAATCACACCTGAACTGGACTGAAAATCATACCTGACTCTTTTTAAAATCGCTAATGAAAACACATGAACCGCTCTAGGTGCAGACCCGACCCTTGGCCACAGGTTGAGTAGTAGAAAATTAAACTTGGGTCGCACTCCAACTAAATTCCAGTTGAAAGTAAAGTTTATTGAAATGTTAATATAAAAGCAAAAATCACAACTCCATGCATAGGACCGAGAACAGTTACCACATTTCACACAAAAACATGTGCTTACTCATAACTTCAGTAACTTCAATAAACTTTACTTTCAAATGGAACCTAGTTGGAGTGTAACCCAAATTTCATTTTCTACTACTTTTTAGAATTCTGCACCCGCACATATGTGAACCAGCTCCATAGAAAGTCAGTTGGGTTCAGATGTCATGCGGTTCAAAACGCATACAATTCGCATATATGTGAACCAGGGCTTAAGGAGCATTTTGCACCAAATGCTATGCTGCTCTTGCACGAAAAAGTTTTAAGTGTGTTTTTGGAATTTAAGAGAGCAGGATACTTTTTCATACAAGTACATGGTACAGCAGGCAAATATCAGGAATATGAAATGTTGGGTTTACATCCTCTTTAAGTAATTACACCAATTAACATCTGCTGATTCAAGCTAACAATCTATTACACCAAGTTTATTGCCCTGTTATAAAATAGTTTGCCCAGCAGAAAACAGAAGACACATCCCAGGATGAATATCTCTCCCTGTATAGTCAAAATGTAAATGTGGTTTATAACTTCTGAGCTGATTACATTAAGAATAACAAAATATTCACATGTGCCAGCTAATGACCAGCCTTTTAAGACCAAACACACCTATGTTAGGAGGTATCGGATTGGGTTAAGCACATCTCCTCAGTGATACAGGTATCTGAAAGCTATCATATCAGTATTCATTCAAAAGTAAAGCTGGCTATAGACCAATAGACCATAGGCAGGTCACTTTGAAGAGCACTACTATATTGGAAATCTCTGAAATATTCCTGTCTGTCATAACAGTGGGAATTACAGGAATTTATTAAAAGTAATTTTTATTGCAGATATTGTGAACGGTTTGCGCTTCTGATAAAAAACACATGGTGGCAGCTGTTTGGTGTATAACAGGTTAACTGCATAGTTAAAGTGGTTATAAACCCTTACATATACCCAGTGAAGTTTCTAGCTTCAGATGATACACAGAGATGAAACAAATTCTCCTACATAGGTTGTAACTGTTTATCTGCAGTCTTCTCTTTTCTATATCCATTCAAAGCTTGTCTGAGGGTTCAGAAAAAAGGGGGTAGAAAGCTGAAATTACACTTGCATAGCTCAGAGAGGGGAGTTCTGCGATCTGATTGGAGAGAAGAGACACATCCCCCTCCACACAGCACACAGGAACAGAGCTGAGGCAGTCAATTGCTGAAGGTCCCTCCCCTGTCACCATTTTTCTCTTGGTGTCAGGAAAACTTGTCAGAAGGGATTCATGTTGATAGCAGAGGAATGAAGCAGCAGACAGAAATGACACTTAGTGCTTTTAATTGGAACAAGTACACACTATAGAGAAATACGTTTTGTTCATATTTCATGTTTGAGATTTACAACCACATAACTAAACCCAGTTTTGATCACTCTTAGTCTGCTGGACCTTAGATTGTGATCCCACAAGTCGGAAACCTTTTGAGCAGGTTGACCTGAGAGTGTCATGGTCATGTATTGGTGGTGGTGGCATGGTGGGATCTGACATCTCTGTTTTCACATATTGGTGTGGAAGCATGGTGGGATCTGATGTCACGGGGGGGGGGGGGGGGTTTGTTTACAAAATTGTTTATAAACAATAGAAAACACAATATTGCCAGATATATATTTATGTGCTGTTAATAGAGTCTTTTGCACTATCTGATCAAACAACATTTTTTAATAAAAAAAAAACAAGAATGGATCAGAGAACATAGGGTCATTATATGAATTGCCAAACCAACATGTACAGTATAGTATACACTACAGATCTATAAAGTTTATTTTATTTTATTTTACTGACTTCTTTTTTTTTTTGTGCATACAGTTTTTTTTATTAAACAGTTTTATTACAGTGAAGATATATTGGGATGACAGCTTTGTAAATGTATCTTTTCAGCATGCCTTGTGGGGTTCATGCAACCACAAGAAGATGACTGTGATGGAAGCACTCAGTTTGCTGGATAATCTGGTGGACGAATCTGACCCTGATGTGGATTTTCCAAACTCTTTTCATGCATATCAAACAGCAGAGGGCATCCGCATGGCTCATCCTGACAAAGGTATGTGCATATTCTACAAACAGTGTGACGATTTTCCCAACTAATATGCAGGATGATACACACAAGATGAAATCAGTCCTTAAATCTGTTTCAATATCATGCAGTAATTTCCATATATTATGTACTGCACTGTCACATTTTGATTAAAGTGGAAGCCAAGTCAAAACTTATTTTTAGCTGAACCTGCTTCCACCCCCATTCTAAGTCTATTCTATTTATCCTGTAAAAGGAAATATGTCTATACTTGCCTATGCTGAGGCTGCTCTGGTCCGGTCACATGATCGACTTCCAGCGAGGAGTGACAGCCAACAACAGATGCCCCATAGTAAGCCTATGGGTGACATCACCGCATAGGCTCTGCAGCCATTGGCTGCGATCTCTCTTCTTCACTGAAGCCAGCCACTGCAGAGGTCATATGACCAGTCCAGAGCGACTTCAGGATCGGTAAGTATAGACATATTTCCTTTTACAGGGTAGATAGAAAAGGACTTAGAATTGAGGTGGGAGTAGATTTAGGCTTAGGTTTTGACTTGTTTTTCACTTTAATATGACATGGACCTCAGGGTAAGGTGAGTAGATGTCTTCATGGGACAGTCCCCAATTTTAGAGTGCTGCCCCTGTAATTTGTAAACTTGAAAAGAGAGTATAAAGTAATAGCAGTTATAAAAAAAAGAACTTGTGGGTTTAACTAATTCTTCCTTAAGGGGGCGTGACAGATGGTGTGTCCTATGCCTACATACTTTTGCTTATAAGTGTCCCTCGTTCCCATCTCAAAAAGTTGGGAGGTATGATAATGGTGTGCTTGGCCCAGGCAGGTGCAGGGTAATCCATCATGGCAACATTTCTGTGATTGGCTTGGAGCAGAAGGAGGGAGGGGATGGGTGTGTGTGCACCTGACTGTGTCTGGGGTTATTGATGATGTCACATGATACTCAGTCCCCCTCAGTGGTGTATTTAGGGTTTTGTGCTGCCCTACAAAATTCACCTTCCCCCCAGAGAGAGCCTGAAATTGACTAACAACACCCCTGGACCCCCACCCACCCGAGAGAGCCTTCCACTACCATTGCCCCCATACACCGGCCACTCCCCTCCCAGTGAGAGAGAAAGACACTCACCTTCACAGCTCTGAACATCCCTGGGAACGAGAGTCAAGCAGGCCGCAGCCTCTCTCAGATCCCACCTGGTCCCCAAGCCGCATGTGTCCCCCTCTTCTGTCCCTTCTTCCAGGGGGGCCGTGCTGCCCTCCTGAAAAATGCCGTCCTAGGCAAATGCCTTGCTTGTCTTGTGGTAAATACGCCTCTGGTCCCTCTGCATGTAGACATTTTTTAGGGAAGTAAGGATATGGATTATTTGCCGCCATGTTATTCTTTGTGATGGTGACCTGCAGTGCACATCTGGGTCTGGAGCTGGAAAGTCAACAGTACATTCAAATACAGTACAGTACAATTCAGTACAGGGTCGGAACAAAGGGGTGGGTGGGTACCCAGGAGGAGCAGCTTCCCTGTGCATAGTGTTTTAACCACTTGACCTCTGGAAGATTTAACCCCCTCCCTGACCAGGCCAATTTTTTGCGATACGGCCCTGCGTTACTATACCTGAAAATTGTGCAATCATGCAATGCTGTACATAAATGAAATTTATGTAATTTTTCCCCACAAATAAAGCTTTCTTTTTGTGATATTTGACTATCTCTGCGTGTTTTTTACTTTTTGCGTTATAAACAAAAAAACTGACAATTTTTTTTCTGCTATAAAACATATCCAATAAAAATTTCTTCATAAATTTAAGCTAAAATTTATTCTGCTACATATTTTTCTGATATTATACAGTTTAGCAATTAAAAACATTTATTTTACAATTAAATATACAGCTAAAATACATATATTTTTACCGTTTAACTGCCTATGGATTTCTATTTCTGCACAGTAGATCTTGGAAATTACATACATTTTTCGTATTGCACAACCAGACAGGTGGCATAGTTCTAATTTAGCAATTCATCATCCTGGTTTAATAGTTTACCTTCCTTTATCACCTTTTCATCCAGCCTTTTTCCTGGAGAAATGTATTTTACATTTATCTTGGAAAGCAATGTTTTAAATGCAATCACTTGTAAAAAGTATTTACTTCAGCGTATTTATATCAATTTGAAACAAATTTTGGCGGTTCAAGTGAACCATGCATAGCGTGCTTACATTCCTAAGGAAGGTAGCCTTCCATTGTGTTTGTACATGCAAGCGCAACCTAGTTAGTGAGAAAAGCCGATTAAAATGAAAACGTTGTGTACAAGTAGGTTTAGCCTGTACTGTAAGTCTTGCTAACATCTTTTACAAGGATAAGTAGATTTATTGCAAATATACAATATAATTTGTTTAACTTTTTTATGTTTGTATAACTTGTCAGATCCAATGACATACAATAAACAGATTTAAATGTGTAAATTTGGTGATTTGCTGTGTATTTTAATTATTATTATTATACAGGATTTATATAGCGCCAACAGTTTGCGCAGCGCTTTATAATATAAGGGAGACAGTACAATTACAATACATTTCAGTACAGAAGGAGGGCCCTGCTCGTGGAGCTTACAATCTAAAGGATAATTAATGTGTATGAGGGGTCCACCAAACCCGAAGTGCCCATCCCTCCGCCCCACAAGGTCTGAGTATTCCCACAGAGTTCCCAAAAGGAGTTCCCAAACAAGCAGCACTTGTATTTTTTAGTGTTCTTTTAGCACTCAGCCTTTTCACCAGCAGCTGGCTCCTACAGCAGGAAGAACAAGAGAGAGATCCCTGAGCATTAATCAGCTTGAATATATTGAGGCCTGGACACATATGAGATTAATAATGAGGTCTGGCTACCAGGTAAGATGTGGACCCGGGAATTGAGGTGATATTGCACCCAGAGGTCTACAAAGCCTCCAGACTTATGTGAGAAACCTAGGTGACACATACACAACGTTCACAATCCTACCAACCAGTGCCTCACTATGTGTATTTTTAACTTTATGACAATGTGTCAGCTTTGGCTGTTTGCCTGAACTTCTTTTTTAACATGTTGTTCATAATACCTTTTACCTTCATTAACTTCATTTTTATTGCTATAACTTCATTTATTTTACAATAAAAGTTGTTTTTTTTTCTACCACATAAAATCATTTAAAGTGTTACTAAACCCACAACAGTAAATTCAGTCTGTATATGCAGTAAAGCATGCTTGTTATGCTCACTGTTGAAGTTAGGGGTTAATCCTCCTCATTGTGTAAAAAGGCTGTTTGATCCTGTCTTCTGTGATCCTCCCCTTCTTCCACAGTCCCCAATCCATCTGCTGATAGTACAGAGCCCTAGGAGGCACTCTGCGCATGCTCATTTTAGTGTGTATTCCTAGAGAATTTTTCTTTTTTTTTACGGTGCATGTGATCAGCACAGGGCCAATCAGCACTGTCCAGACAGAGGGTTGGGGGTTATGTAGCCTCATAGAACAGTCAGAGCAGCATGAAAACTCCTCCTACAAGCTTTAACCAGTGCTCATCTGGACACTGATAGAAGTTCACAAGACTGCTATATACTCCTGATGAGAAAAGGTATTTAGCAGTTGATATTTAGTGAAATAATTGCATTTCTGTGTTGTGCATACTGTGGGAAATTGGATATAGTGAATTCAGGGTCCTGCATTTAGTAACACATTAATTATTGGCAAAGTTATAATCTTAGGCAGTAATTTCCTGCTTTAGATGTCTTTATCTCATATGTCTATTTTATTAACACATTTTCTTCCTTTAGACTGGTTCCAGTTGGTTGGTTTGTTACATGATATCGGGAAGCTTATGGCCCTGGATAATGAGCCACAGGTACCTCATCCATGAAATGAGATATTTATCCCATAAAGGCTGCAGCGCTAGAGAACCACTTCAAGCAGTAAGATGGAAAGCTATAGGATAGTCACAAATAGCTTGTGTGAAGTCATATATGAACAGTAGCACTCATTTTACACTATCGCTTTCATCTTCAGATGCAGAAATAAATATGTAGGCTTTCAGTGCAAAGAAGATTACATCAGATGTTCTGACTTCGCTTCCTGCATACTTATTTTAGATCAGTGACTTAGAAAGGTTTAAACTCATTTTAGCAACATGACATTCTGGCAACTAGCAATTTCTGAAAGAGTGCAGCAATATCAGCCCCCTATTTCTCATATGACAGGTTTATTTTAATGTCTCTGCAGAACAGAATGTAGGATGATAGCTAAGGCTGTCTTCCACTGCTAAGTAGATATGAAATGAGCTATGCTCACATTTAGAAGTACATATAAAATGATATCAGTGGCATGCATTCAACGGGAAATGCGTCAATCTTTCTTCTTTGTAGTGGGCTGTTGTTGGAGATACTTTTCCAGTTGGCTGTAAATTTCAGAAATCCATTGTGTATAGTGACACAACCTTTAAAGACAATCCAGACACAAGACACTCCGTGTACAGGTGAGTAGAAATGACAATATTTAAAAGTCAATTTTATAGAGCAGCAACAAGGACCTCTATCACCCTCTTTCAGTTTTCTAGACTGGTAATATTCTAGTAATGCACAAACCCTTAGATTAAACGCAGGTCCAGGGGCGGACTGATCATTCGGGCGCTCGGGCACTTCCGGGGGCCCGGGGTCAGTAGGGGGCACCATGAAATGCCCCTGGTACCTTTAAAAGGCTTTTTTTGGGTTTGCTTTGAGTGTGGGCAAGGACACAGGGGTCCCATGATCCCCTATTGCCTGGGGGCCCCATGAGTTGTCAGTCCGACCCTGCGCAGATCTTTTGTATTTTAAATTGAATGAGTTAGGTCATGCCAAGTGCAGAAAAAAATGACAAATATATTTATTACCATACCATAAAATACAGATATTCTGTATATGAAAAATATCTACTGTCAGGTTCATAAATATTGGGACATCGACACAATTCTAACATTTTTGGTTCTATACACCACCACAATTTGCATATGTGCCTCTCACTTGTTAAGGGACCAAAAGTAATGGGACAGAATATATAATCATAAATCAAACTTTCACTTTTTAATACTTGGTTGCAAATCCTTTGCAGTCAATTTACAGCCTGAAATCTGGAAAGCATTAGACATCACCAGACGCTGGGTTTCATCCCTGGTGATGCTCTGCCAGGCCTCTACTGCAACTGTCTTCAGTTCCTGCTTGTTCTTGGGGGCATTTTCCCTTCAGTTTTGTCTTCAGCAAGTGAAATGCATGCTCAATCGGATTCAGGTCAGGTGGTGATTGACTTGGCCATTGCATAACATTCCACTTCTTTCCCTTAAAAAACTCTTTGGTTGCTTTGGGTCATTGTCCATCCTGCACTGTGAAGCGGCGTCCAATGAGTTCTGAAACATTTGGCTGAATATGAGCAGATATTATTGCCCGAAACACTTCAGGAATTCATCCTGCTGCTTTTGTCAGCAGTCAACATCATCAATAAATACAAGAGAACCAGTTCCATTGTGCAGCCATACATGACCAACGCCATGACACTACCACCACCACCATGCTTCACTGATGAGGGTGGTATGCTTAGGATCATGAGCAGGTCCTTCCCTTCCTTCTCCATACTCTTCTCTTCCCATGTCACTCTGGTACAAGTTGATCTTGGTCTCATCTGTCCATAGGATGTTGTTCCAGAACTGTGAAGGCTTTTTTAGATGTCGTTTGGCAAAACTCTAATCTGGCCTATTCCTACTTTTGAGGCTCACCAATGGTTTACATAATCTTGTGAGTGAACCCTCTGTATTCACTCTGGTGAAGTCTTCTCTTGATTGTTTGACTTTGACGACACATACACCTACCTCCTGGAGAGTGTTCTTGATCTGGCCAACTGTTGTGAAGGGTGTTTTCTTCACCAGGGAAAGAATTCTTTTCCGGTCATCCGCCACAGTTGTTTTTTCCGTGTCTTCCGAATCTTTTGGTGTTGCTGAGAGCTCACCGATGCGTTTCCTTCTTTTTTAAGAATGTTCCAAAGAGAGTTGTTTTGGCCACGTGCCTAATGTTTTTGCTATCTCTCTTGATGGTTTAGTTTTGTTTTTTTTCAGCCAAATGAATGGCTTGCTTCACTGATAGTGACAGCTCTTGGATCTCATCTTGAGAGTATGACAGCAACAGATTCCAAATGCAAATAGCACACTTGAAATGAACTCTGGACCTTTTTATCTGCTCATTGTAATTTGGATAATGAGGGAATAACACACCACCTTGCCATGGAAACACTGAGAAGCTAATTGTCCCATTTACTTTTGGTCCCTTAACAAGTGGGAGGCACATATGCAAACTGTTGTAATTTCAACAAAACCCGTTCACCTGATTTGGATGTAAATACCCTCAAATTAAAGCTGACAGTTTGCAGTAAAAGCACATCTTGTTTGTTTCATTTCAAATCCAATGTGGTGGTGATATAGAGTCCAAAAATGTTAGAATTGTGTTTTGAATGTCCCAATAGTATGGACCTGACATGTAGATCAGCCCTTATTCCTCCAACCAGGATTCTGTGAGGAACCCCAGAGTTTGCTCCAGATGGTATGCTAGGGGATTTCCTTGGAGCTTTAAGGCAATTTCTACTTCTTACCATAAAGCGGAGTTCCAGCCGATTAATTATTTTTTTTCTAAAGGCACCCACAATAGCGAGTAGCAACTTAGGCAATTTGCAAGTTGAGATCACCCTGTAAACTTGGAATCCTTTGCTTTCATTAATAAAAAATAAATTTACTTACTAGCAACCCATCATAATGTGAACGGCCTTGTCATCTTAAGTGGTTGGCACCTGAAGCTCACTCAGACATCTCTTCATGGCAAATTGTGCAGACTGGCTACCCACCATGCACTTTCCATTTTCGCCTCCCTTGAAAGGACGATGTGAAGAAGGAGCGATCTCGTACATGCGCAGGTGATGAAGAAATCCCCGGAGCGATCGTGTCCACTTCTGGTCTCATAAACAGCGCAAGAAAGATTTTGGTTACCAAGGGCATTCCCTAGGACTCAGCAGGTGATAGATGTCGCCGCCGATATCCCAAGACGCCCTATGGGATTTGCCTGATGATGTAAATCAGCCTAGGCGGCCTGGGAACGGAAAAGTAGAGGAACAGAAAATTATCACATAAATGGTATTTAGGAAAAAAAAAAAAATTCTACATATATTATTGCCAAAATTGGATGGTGAAGAGGGAGTCCATTAGTCTTTCAAGAGAAGAAAAAAAAAGGCTGGAAAAACTTCTGCTTTAAAGTTCCATTGATGCCAATGAAAAATCTTATTAGCTTATTTGTAAAGAGGAGGATTCTTCCTACTGACTGAAAAACATAGAAATAATTTCCCTTCCCCACAGGACCATTACACTAAGCCATTGTGACCTATTCAGTTTCAGAATTCTAATCATTGGTTTTCCTGTGAGCCTGAAAGGTTATGTCATGGGTTCCCCCATGGATCCTAATAAAATTGAGAAAGGCTGTTCTTGATTGTTATATAAACGTGACATAGGACGTGTGTTAAAAAACAATAATGTGACCCAAATGAATAATTAATAATAATCTGAAACTTCACAAGTAACTCAAAGTTCATATTGTGCAGAGTAGTACAAAATGTCCAATCAAAGTCTGAAAATCCTTGTGCAAATTATGTTACAATAAGTGCTCATCCATGCAATGCGGAATTATTAACCTCCTTTTTGAGTGAATGAACTCTCACTGTTACTATCTGACCCCCATCACCAAAGGTCAGATTATACATATCCGTAAATCTTTGGATGTTATTATTTATTAATTTGGTCACATTTTTGTTTTGTTTTTTCAAACGTCTGTCACATTTATATCTATATATATATCTATATATATTTATATTAGATTGTGTTTTGCCAAGTTTGTTTAAGATCATGCTACTTATGCATGAGCCTTTGTCAAGGCGGCCCTGTATGCATGTAGGTAAACTAAACAAAATATGAAAGGCTCAAGTTCTGTCAAAGGGTATTCTCACATATATACTGATAACCAATATGTCATCAATACACACAATCATTGAGAGGCCCTTTAGTGACTGTTTGCACTTAAATAGACCACAAAATAGAACTCTACTATGATTTGAGAAACATAGCCGACTCTGGACAAACCCATACGGAAGAAAAATATATTTGAAATATAGTTTAAAAATATTCTTCCCAAATATATTGACATATATTTGAAATATTACAATTTTGGCCATATTCAATATATTTCAAAATGTATTTCAATAAATTAAAAAAAAAACCATATATATATATATATATATATATATATATATATATATATATATACACATATACACATGCACACATACACACTGCATGTTGAAATGCGTTTATATGACAAAAATATATGAAAAATATTTTTAAAAATACAATTCAAATATACTGTATGTCTTTAAAAATACAAATCTACATTTTTGGAATGCATTTACAAATATATGTAAAAATATATGTTAAAATGACTTTTTTATATGTTAAAAAAAATCTGAAGAGTATATTTTTTAAAAATATATTTAAAAAAATATTTTTTTTTAAAAAATATATTCTTCAGCTTTTTTTTAACATATAAAAAGTAATGTAAATGTAGATTTGTATTTTTAAAGACATACCGTATATTTGAAATGTGTATATATATATATATATATATATATATATATTGAAATGTAATGAATATGGCCATATGGTCATAGCTGTCAATAGTTGGGGCAGGCAAAAACATAGTATGTCTCCTACTCAAAACTGAGAGATCATAGAAAACATGAAACTGTCTCTTTGTTTTAGGCAATCAGCTCATGTGCATAGTAGCAGTTCTTTCATCTTCCAAATGGTGTTATATTTAGAGGTCTATACAGCTTTGCCATTAGAAACTATTACTTTGCCTAAACTGGAGTTTGATTTTAGGCTATTGGTCAGTAACCAAAACTGCTTTTCTTGCACAGCACTCAGTATGGGATGTATGAGCCTAACTGCGGTTTGGAGAATGTCCTCATGTCCTGGGGCCATGATGGTAATCTACATCTACCATTTTTATGTTTAAAAGAAATAAGAATAAGTGAAGGCAAGGCAAATATAGTGACTTAGCTATTAAAGTCAGGCATACTATCATTGATGTGAATGCAAGCCAAACATTTTATTAATCCTAACTAATGCAATAATCTGCATGATTGTATTATCAAACAGCGATGCTTTAAGAAATTGGTACAGACTTTACAATCCACGTTGAACTCTATGGGCTTTTGAATGCAAAGTGATGCAACAAAATGCAATGGAAAAAGATACACGGAGCATAAAGCACACATCAAGCTTTTAAGTGGTTTGAGATTTGTTTGAATAGCTTCAGAAGCTAAAGGAGTTCAAATGTGACTTTTCATCTTTAGTGGTGACAGATGATCTAAGTAAAACAAGGGGGGTCATGGAATGTGGGATACTGTGTCTTATTACAGGGGATGTAACTTGTCTACATTAAATGGGTGGTAGGAAACAACCTTAATGTGAATATACAATCTTGTTCCTAGTATTATTGTTGCTGTATAATACCATTTTAAATGCGCTTTCTCATTTGCTTTTCTTTAGAATACCTGTATAAAGTCCTGAAGTTTAACCAATGTACCATTCCAGAAGAGGTAAGGGTGTGTCCAAATGATGGCCGAGTATCTGGTGAAGGCGTAAAATGAGTGTAATTCCACTTTTGTTGTTATTATTATTATTATACAGGATTTATATAGTGCCAACAGTTTGCTCAGCGATACATGATACTACAATATAAAGGGACACAATACAGCAACAATACAGTTCAATACAAGAGGGATAGGATGGGCCTGCTCATTGGAGCTTACAATCTAAGAGATTTGTTGAGAACAGGGGCGGACTGACCATTTGGAAACTTGGGCACTGCCCGAGGGCCCGGGGTCAGTAGGGGGCCCCATGAGATGCCCCTGGTACCTTTTTCATCAGCTTTTTTGACTTTGGGCAAGGACACAGGGGCCCCATGATCCCCTATTGCCCGGGGGCCCCATGAGTTGTCAGTCCGCCCCTGGTTGAGAAATAAACAATTCCCACTGAGGATCTATGTACATGACAATGATTATAACAAATTCCTACCTTTTTTCTGAATGAAAAGATCTGCACTCATTATAACCATCTGGTGCACTTTCAATGTTCTAATAAGGAAAGCTGCAGTTTCTGCATTTCTTTAGACCCTTATGGAGTATTTGAAAAATGGCATTCCTATTGCAAAGAAAAGGATGTCTTGTATCTTAGTGCAAATGTCTTAGAAAAACACTTAGACAATTACATATTTAGGAAATTACATATCTCCAGGTCGCCCTTTTTAAAAAGTTTTAGAAAATGATAATATTTTTTAGAAAAAAAAGATATGTACTGTATGTATATATATATTTTTTTAATATAATTTTTTTAATAAAAGTGGTATTTAATTCTACTTTAAATGCCTGGCCTTAGGATGGAAAAACAGTACATGTTTTGTGGATCCGCTCACGCAAAAGCACAAAGAAGCAGAACTGGTCCAATTATAGCAAACTTGTAGTCTGCTCATACTGAGCAAAATAACAAGTTCATGTCATAGAAGACACCAAATGCAGCTTGTACTCGGCCTACATTCTCCCAATCTTCTGCCACACCACCCAAAATGTCCTATGCAAGTTTCAAATTATTCATATGTACATTGCTATTCATGCTAACACCTCCTGTGTAAGAAGGTCCAGACCTGATAAGGTGATACTCAGTGTGAGGAGGTGGCAGGTGTCGCCCCATACCTATAATATGGCAGCAAACGTTCCCTTGGCATACATAAGGTGAAAACATCTGGGAATTTTCAGTTGAATTATAACTAAGGGCGAAGCTTTTTTTTATTTTTAGATGGAATAGAGATGAATTAGAAAACCAGTCAGTTTGTATTGATGTCTAGGCCCTCATTAGGGAGATTAACCCTATTTGTCCTGTTTACCATTACCAGGGAATGTGAAAATAAAAAATCCAAAATTTTGGGTTGTCCCCCGAAATGTAATAGAGGGGAAATTTTTCCAATGGGTACACTAGTTCTGAAGACCTGAGGTTCCCAGGGATTCCCTTAATTTGCAGGGATCTTTTTTTTAATCACTTTCTGCTTGGCTATGGGACAGGATAAATTTCTCCAATGGGACACAGATAGCAAAAATAAATTGACATAGTAATAACCCTCCCTTACTCCATCCAAAAAGGAAAAAAAAAAGTTTTGCCTATAGTTCTACTTTAAAGTGTTACTAAATCCAGGACCCTGCATTCATTATATCTGGTCTCCCACAGTACACACAACATGGAAATGCAATTATTTTAGTAAATATAAACTGCTAAATACCTTTTCTTAGCAGTTAGAGCAGTCTTGTGACTTCTATCAGTGTTCAGAAGAGCACTAATTAAAGCTTGTAGGAGTTTTCTCTAGGAGGATGCAGAACCTCTGACCTTTGTCTGAGCAGTGTTGATTGGCCCTGTGCTGATCACATGCACTCTCCCAAAAAAAAAAAACCTCTCTAGCAATACACACCAAACTGAGCATGTGCAGAGTTTCCACACGATATATCTTATCAGGAGATAAGAGGGAGACACCACAAGAAGCAGAGGATCAGAGAAGTTAGGATCAAACAGCATTTTGTACACAATGTAGAGGATTATCCTCTTAGGTTCCACAGTGAGTATAACAAGCATGCTTTACTGCATATACAGACTGATTTTACTGTTGTGGGTTTAGTAACACTTTAGGTTTTTGTCTCCAATGAATATCACTACCTTTATACAAACTGGAAATATCTTCTAACCTGTTGTCTAACTTTTCAGGGAATGTACATGATCAGATTCCATTCCTTTTATCCCTGGCACACAGGAGGGGATTACCAGCATCTCTGCAATGAGAAAGACCAAAACATGCTGCCTTGGGTTAGAGAGTTCAAGTGAGTATTTAGGATGCTGTGTAGAATAAAAAAGTGCTTGAATGAATGTTTTCATAAAGCTCAGATGTTCAAAATATTCTGCAACTTAATTAGTATAGATTTAGGAACATGTAGCGAAAAAAGCCTACACAGTGGGCCTATAGCCGGAGATGTATTTACCAAGAGGGAAACAAGTCATTTGCCTAGGGCGGCAATATTTAGGGGGGTGGTGCCGCCTCCCAGGAGAGGGTACTTGGTGAGCAACGGCAGACTAAGACAAGCAGGGCTGCCATCTGAAGGGTTTTTTTGCTGCCCGGAGATCAGTAACCCTTGGAGAAGGTAGGGGTGGTAATCATAGTGTGTGTATGTGTATATGTGATCCTGTCTCATGTGCTGCATGGACGACAGGAGGGAGAGCCCAGAGAACACAACACAGCTCACCTTCTCCTCGCTCTTTCCTCTCCACTTTTTCTAGGAAATGTAATGTGGATTTTGGGGGGATGATTGGTGGTGGTGTTATCTGCTAGGAGGAATGGGGGGAAAAGAGAGAGAGGTAATAGAGAGAGGGGGAGAGAGAGAGGGAGAGAGAGAGGGGGAGAGAGAAAGAGAGGGGGAGAGAGGGGGGAAGAGAGAGGGGGGGGATAAGGAGGGAGAGAGAGAAGGAGAGAGAGAGGCAGAGAGGGGAGAGAAGGAGAGAGAGAGAAGGAGAGAGAGAGAGAGGAGAGAGAAGGAGAGGGAGAGAGAGAGACAGAGAAGGAAAGGGAGAGGGGGGGGGAGATAAGGAGATAGAGAAGTAGAGAGAGAGAGGGAGATAAGGAGAGAGAAAGAGGAGAGGGGGAGATAAGGAGAGAGAGAGGGGGGGGGGTAAAGTGAGAGAGAAAAGGAGAGAGAGGGAGAGAGAGGAGAGTGAGGGAGATAAGGAGAGGGAGAGAGAGAGAGGGGGGGAAATAGAGAGGGGGAGAGAGAGGGGGGGGGAGAAAATAAATATTATATATATACACATAAATATCGAACTCTCTCTCTCTTTGCCTAGGGCAGCACAAAACCTAAATACACCACTGTTTACAGCACATGTGTCTGCGTGCAGTAAAAATCTTCTGTGTGTAGCAGCTATCCCAGCCCATTTATCTGAGCCCTCTCTCGATCCAGCGATGTCCAGGAGAGCCTTGGTTCTCCGGGGACTCTCACTCCTGATTGGTTGAGGCAGCAGTGGGAGCCATTGGCTCAGGCTGCTGTCAATCACAGTGAGCCAATTGGGGAGAGGGAGGGGGCGGGGCCGAGCCGCGACTGTGTGTGTGAATGGACAAGCAAAGTCGAGGCTCGGGAGCACGCCTGCTCAAGTGCCCGCATAGCAAGCTGCTTGCTGTGGGGGCAGCTGACAGGAGGGAGGGGTGAGGAGCACCAGTGGGGAACCCAAGAAAAGGAGGATACAGGCTGCTCTGTGCAGAACCACGGCATCAGTATGGACCAGCCCTAAAGCAGATGCAATTATTATTATTATACAGTATTTATAAAGCGCCAATAGTTCGCTCAGCGCTGTACATTACAATGGGAGACAGTACATGCGACAGTACGAAAACAATACAATGTGATACACGAGGGGTTCGAGGGCCCTGCTCTTTCAAGCTTACAATCTAGGAATAAATGAGGGACACTACTTCTAAGAGCTCATTCACACCAGGTGTGGTGGGAATGTGCTGGGAATGCACTCATAGTTGGGTATTAAGTATATATGCAGTGCTCAACCAAGATCCAAACAAACATTACTGCAGACTTTTCAGACTATTTTTTTTTTTGGGGGGGGGGGGTATGTCAATTCACTATAGATGTGACACTGCACTTGTAAAGACCCATCCCTCTTATTTGCATCTCTTAGCCTAGTTATTAATTGAGCTGAATGTCACTTCTTCGTTGTGCTCCTGTATGTTTAACATATGTTTTGCTTGTGTGTTTCCTTAGTAAGTTTGACCTCTACACAAAGACTGATGAAATGCCGGATGTGGAGATCCTTCAACCATATTATCAAAACATAATTGACAAGTACTGCCCTCGGGTGCTGTGCTGGTGAAATATAATTGGGTGCCATCATAATCACCTTATGTCCTTAAGCTCTGAATTTTATCATACCCATCTTTATTTTCTCAGAATACTATAGTGTATAAAATACGGAGACCACTCTGTCACATACAAATGCTTAATATAAAAAAGAAAAAAAGTGCATATTTTCAGAAACAAAAAATAATAAAACCTTAAAACTGGACTATAACATCAGTGCCATTCAGTCATTCTCCAAATTAGTTCAGACCTCCCTACAGTTTTGTGGTGCAATATAACACGTTTGTTACCCTAAAAAAAATAAATCTTGCATTAGAATGGTCTCCCACAAAATTGATTCTTGTAGTAGTTATTTTCACAATACAAAACACAGTGGAAAAATCTACAATGTATCAATGCTGCTCTCTAGTGGACGTGAACATTGAATTTGAAAATGGATTGCAATGTACAGTATTAACAAGGAACATTCCAGCAGAAATTATACATATTTCTTTGGGCGGAGAAGGATGAACTCAGTAATTTTTATGTACTGCTCCAAGAACCCTGATTACATGATCCAGCTATGGTATGTTTCTCTGGTGATCTTGTCCCCTTGCTGCTGCCTGTGTGTTTATGTTGATGGTCTGCTTAGAAAGAGGAAACCACCAGAGGAACTTGAAAAAGCTGGATGGTCACATTATTATAGGAATCACTGGCCATAAGAATAATTGGAGATATCTACCTCTACTTTAGGAGGAAAAAAAAGTAACAAAAGCAATGCAAAGCAAATATACAGTTGTGCTCAAATGTTTGCATACCCTGGCAGAAATTGTGAAATTTTGGCATTGATATTGAAAATATGAAGGCTTTAGACATCTTTTTATGTCCTTTTTCATCTTTTTAAAGTTCCATTACATTGTTACGCAGGACTTTTGACAGTTCTTTTCTGGTCCCCATGGCTCAGTATCTAGCGTAGTCAGTGCTTCCACGTAAGAGCTAACAAACTCATTGATTATTTATACACTGACACTAATTGCAATTTAAAAAGGACATTAACCTCTAATTGGCATTTTAACCCGTGTGTGTCCCCTTGTGTGTCTGTACCAAGGCCAAACATTCCAGGGTATGTAAACTTTTGATGATGACTATTTGGGTGATTTCTGTTATCATTATGATTTAAAAAGGAGCCAGACAACTATTTGATAATACATGTCTTCATATGATCATCATCCTTCAATAAAAGAGCATGTTTTGGCATGATCAGTCATATTTTCAATATCATTGCCAAAATTTCACGATTTCTGCCAGAGTATGCAAACTTTTGAGCACAACTTTGCTTGCCTTTCACCTAATTCTGGAGATTTTAAACGACTTCTGGAAGCTCTATTTCTGGAAGAACTAGTTCTGCAGCAGACACGTCAATGTGTCTGTCAATGACAGAGAACTCTTGTGACCTGATAGAAGCATCATTTTCAAGGTTAGCCACCGCAGTCTCAGTAAGAAGTGTCAGCTAGTTTACTATGTTCCCTTGAAGCCGGCCATGTATCCGCCACACCTGCTCCTAAAAATAGATCCGCTAATCTAACTCAGAAGGTTTTTTTGTAGCTATTTTAAAATGTACTTCTAATGCATGTTACATGGAATTTTCCCAAATAGTAAATTCAAATAGAAAGAGTTCACATTTGTTTGCACTCAGCCACAGTTTACACACAAGGCCAACGTCATGTTTAAAATAATCAGTTCTATCTGTGTGTCTAACATTTAGAGCGGTGTTTACATTTCCACATCTCCACACAGCCACATAGGGATTTTTTTTTTAGGCACTTTCCATATACCATGTAATAAATATCATCTCTTACATAAGTAATGCAGTTTAGATCCTTGCCCTTGCTTCTTCAACATTTTCTTCCAGTCATGGCTGCCTCCTTCTTAGCAAGGTAGGTTCCTGCGTTACCCCTGGTTCACATATTCGTGTTTCTGCGGGCTGCATTTTGTGCGGGCACGAGAGCCCATTCATTTGAATGGACTCCCGTGCCCCGGGATACGCAGGGAAGAAGTCCCTGCACTTCTTCTGAAAACGAGTCTGCACGGTAACCTCGGTTCCCAGTGCGGTTGTGATTTCCAGTGCGGGCGGCGTGCCATTAGAATTATTTTTGTGTGGGTGGTGTGGCTGCACGGATTTTTGTGTGGATCTGCAGCGGCACCACCCGCACATATGTGAACCTAGCCTTAAGGTGGCCATAGACGGATCAAAATTCGTCAGGGGCTGGACAAATTTCAATCTATGTGTGGTCACTATAAACGAACACTTGCACTCAGAATTTAACAAGAATAAATAAAAGCAGCTTGTCCATTTGAAGGCAATAATATGATATAGATAGATAAATGCAGCACTAATTATACAATGGTCTTATAGCACTTTAAATGTGATAAAGTCCATATATATTTTCGGTTTCTAAACCGATATGGGAAGAGAGGGGCGGCGGGGATTGGAGCACAGCCTTCTCCCTGCTGGCATATCACTACAGGCTCTGGGACCACGGCAGCGACAGGCGGAGAAGGGCCTTTTTATCCTGCGTAGGTGAGAGAGGAGGCGACGATGTACCAGTTTATTGAAGTTGGAAAAGTTACTTATTATTTTGGAGGGTCTTTCTATTGACGATCCATTGCTGCATTTGAGGATATACCATACTGCTCATGTTGACCGACCTTTTGTGCAATCAAACTGTCTGGTAAGAGGCCAATTTGTTTGGGTGAATGGTGATGGCTTTTGGATCAAATCTTTCATCTTATGCACCAACTTCCATCCATTTGGGAATCTATATGCACTTTATCACATTTAATATTGTAAATTTTTATTAACGGCCAGTGCCCATTTTTTAAAACAGAACATAGTAAAAAACAACAACACTGTAAGTGTAAACGTTGCAATAAAAGAAAACCATAATCAGTATAAAAGAATAATCAGGAGAAATATGAACATAAACAGCATGGTAATCTGTGCAATTCAAAAACATAAATCAACATAAACCTGCACATCATTGGATTACATTATTTGTCAAAGGCATGTTATCTGGAAAAGTGTCTGGACTATATGGGGGGGGGGGGGGGGGGGGAAAGGGGGAGAGAAAGGAAGTCTACCAAATAAGTAAAGGGAGAATGATCCCATAGGTCCCAAATAGAGTGAAAGTGACCCGATTGGACTTTATTGCATTTAAAGTGCTATAAGACCATTGTATAATTAGTGCTGCATTTATCTATCTATATGCGTGGTCACTGCCTTACTGATTGACCTCTATTCAACTTTCCTGTCCAATAAATCGCTCGATGAGCAGCTGCAGAGCTGATCTGTTCATTCTGACAGCGGGTGAGTCTCTCCTCCATCAGAATACAATAAGGCAGCAGGGAGGATTCTAAATGTGTGGATGGGGAAATCATTTCAGTTTCTTTTTTGTTCAGCCTGTTGGTTGAACCAAAAAAACTGCACCATGTATGGCCAGCTTTAGAGTGCAAGAATCTAATCAAATTCCTGTCCACGGTTGATCTACCACTATTAGAAATAAATCAGAAGCTAGTTTATAGTTCTATGTTTACATAGTTACTGGTTTTTGAAGAACACCATCACCAGAATACTTGGTTTTCAAGAACATTGTATACTATTGTGTTTAACAAAAAAAAAAAAATACAATTTCCCATTTGGGCCAGTTCACACCAGGAATTGTCCAGCAGCACACTTGCGTTCCTGTGCAATTTGAGTGCAATGCATTTTTAGTCTATTTGAATGGGCTGAAATTGCACTAGTCTGCTCAAAAAGTAGTGCATGCGCTACTTTAAAAACGCACTGCAACCAGATCACATGCAATCTGATGCAGGCAACCACACTGCATTTGTGGCCTGCGTTTAGGGCAATATTAGTATTACATTGACACCTGATGCATATCGATCTGGGAAATGCGCATGGAACGCGGCCGAACCTGGCATGAATGGGCCCTTACTTTGTTCATATTTTCATGCACAGTGCATATCCTATAGAAGTTTGTGGAAACATCTTGTTGATGTGTGTGTACTCAATCAGTGACTACAATGAACATATCTGCGCACTGCATGCATTGGAATAGCTATTTGTAGTCCAACTACATATATCCAGTAAGTTCACATTGTAGACTTGAACAAGCTGATTTAAAGTGGAACTGCACTGCATCTGAGCACCAGAAACCAAAAACACAGTTTAATTTATTTTCAATATTCAAAGCAAACTCCCCCATCCATTCACGGTTCCATGGTTTATTTTACTGAGAAATCATTTTCAAAAACACCCCCTGGCATTGATGGCCGTGGCCATCTCAAGTAAGGGCTGATGGTTGATGTAGCATTTACTTCCTGAAATCCATCTGCCCTTAGCTCACCCATGGGTTGAGCTGAGAACCTCCCTCCCGAAGATTCCTGGGATGTACGACATCATTTGCCTAGGCATAGAAACCAGGAAGTGAAGAAATGTAAAAAAAAAAAAAAAAAGGTTTAAAACAAGTAAATATGATATACTTTCCTAGCTGATTACTAATGCTAGCAGCATAAGGATTAAAAATAGTCCAGGTTGATTGAGAAAGTGACATTCCACTTTAAAGTAGTTCTAAAGCTAAATCATTTTTACCTTAACGCATTTCCTGCATTAAGGAAAAAAACATTTTAGGACTTGCTGTGCCCACCTCCCTAAACACCTGACTCCTGGATCCATCCAGCACTGCCTGGCTACAGTCTTCTCTACTCTCTCCCTCTTCACACAGGGACAGACAGGCAGCAGAGAGAGCCATTGGCACACTACTTGACTCAGGAGCAAGGTGTACCCCCATAGCAAGTGACTTCCTATGGTGGCAGATACAGAAGAGAAGGAGCCTAGCATGCCGGCAGGGGACCCCAGAAGAGGAGGTTCAGGGCCAGTCTGTGCAATACCATTAGGTATTAGTATACCGTAGCATTAACAATACAATTAGGCAGGCAAGTATAACATGTTTCCTTTTTTAAGGGGGGGAGCAC